CAGTAGGTTAGGAAGGGCAGAGGTGGTATGGTTGTTAATCCCATAAAACAGAGAGAAAAGAGAGGCAATAACTGCCTGTAAAGCAGAAAAGCTGCTGTTGGGGAAGCCTGTAAAACGCTGTGAGAGCAGCACTGCTCTTCAATCCGTCATCTTTAGTGCCAGCAGTCACAAGCTCTGTTCTTGGGCTTTTTCTTTCCTGGGTGTGTTTGCTGGTGGTGAACAAGGCTGAGATACGAGTGGGGATGGTGAAGCAGAGGGGACTGTGGTGCTTCTCATGGTGGCCAGAGCAGGACCTGGTTCTCCTTTGGTCACACCAGGGCTAAAAGGGAAAGAATCGCCTCTTCCTCCACACTGTGTCACCTCTTGCTGGGGCTGGTGCCTGGTGAGTGACTTAGGACCAAGGTCTCTGTTCAGTGAATAAGTACTTGACTGACAGTACTTGGCTCCCAGGAGCATCCTTCATGGGAAGAGGTAGGAGAGCAACCAGTGAAAACTGTGACTGTGGGACATCCCTGAGCACAGCAGGAGGTTGCTCTGTTCCTCATAGTCCCACAAAGGTTCATGGAGGGCTTTGAAGGACGGGTTCTTTCTGCATATCCATGGTAGGCAACCTTGAGCAGGGCAGGGAGGGTGAAGTACCTCTCCCAAAGCAGAAGCAGGCCTCTAAGCACCTAATGCAACTAGGTAAAGTGGAGACTGGTGATGGGGGCTGAGCTTTCAGGCTAGGTAGCACCCCTTTGAGATATTCAAGCCAGATACCACCCATTTCATCTTCTGCCTAATTGGGTTCCCGTCCTCTTTCATCTGCTTCCACTGATGGGTATCTCATGACATTCATTTGCCTTTCCTTGCTGCCCACTCTTTTCCTGGAAGAAAGAGAAAAGGGGAATACCCCCACATCCCATTCTTCCTTTGGCTGAGGGCAGATGCTGAGTGGGACCCCACCACCCTGAGATGCTTCCAAGCCTGGTGGTGGGACGTGTGTGTGCGGGCAGGGAAGCCAGGGAAAGGAACAGGAGCTTTTTCTCTTCCCGGCGACGCCGACGTGGTGATCAGAGGAGCTGGCCAGAGTCCTAATGAAGATAAATGAATATCCCCTCTCCTCCGCTCCTCCAGCTTTTATTGATGGGCTGTGGGGTGAAAGGCGAGAGCCTGAATGTTCATTTAAGCAGACGTCACGAGTTTCTTTGGAGGGGAAGGTGTAAGAAAAACCGCCTTGTGCTTGAAAGTTACTCCAAGATGAGCACGCTCGGCTTTACAAGCCTTTCTCCATTCCTTCCCCATCCATCACTTCCCGGGACCCCTTTGTAAATGCAAATTGCACTTTGATAGAAATAATGCACTGAGCCTCTATTAGTGTCTGCGTAATGGAGAGGGCTATTTTAATGCAATCATTCTTAAAAGAAGCTCCTCTGGGCCTTAGTTTAGGCTGTGTATCAAAAACCAATCTGAAAACATGCTCCTCCCCTGCCCTCCGCTCCCTCCCGTCTCTGACTTTTCCAGGCGCTGGGATACTTCTTATTCGGGTTTTTTGGGGGATTCATGGAGCAGCCTTGGGGTTTGACATGTCAATGAGAGCTCAGGCAGACACCTCATCTGAGCTGGTCCCCAGGACAAGGCTTGGTGTTCCAGGCTGGGACATCTGGACCATGGGATGCTGAACATCGTGATGGTGACCAGGGGATGGTGATGGTGAACTTAATGGAGGGACAACCCACATCCTTCAGAGGTTGCCATCTGGGGAAGGTTCAGCTGTGATTTTTAGGGGGATGAGGTGCCTCATTCCCTGGAACTGCTTCTTCCCAGGCTCTCTTATGTGCTTTCTAGCAGGAGGAAGCTTCTTCAGTCCCAGCTATAAACATCTCATGTGTGAGATTTGCAGAGCAGCCCCTGGGATCCCTGATGTGTTTGTGCACTCGGCAAACTGATGTTCTCATGTCCTAGCCTGATCTCTCCCTCCCAGGGTGTGCAGCAGCAGCTCCAGCACTGAAATCAGTTTAAGCTGCTTTAAAAAGAGGGGAAAAAAGGAATGATTTAAGCCATTGAGATCCCTCTCCACACACGCACTTTGGGAGGTCAGGAAAAAAACCTGCTTTGAACTGTTTAAAAACAAATCTGAAGCATCATTCATCTTCATTAATGAGATATTTAACCAGTCCCTTTTAATAACTTCTTGATGCATATGCCAAATGAAAAAAAACCATATTTTTGTCTCATTTTCTGCTTAAGAAGCCATTATTTTGGTCTCATTTTCGGATTAAAAGGCCATTATGCTCCATGCCCCTTCTCTCCTTAACCCCTAAATCCTGCTTTTCGTACCCTGGTATCATCATCACGCTCCCTTGGACCAGCACAGGGTCCTCCGTGTGCACCACTGTGATTTGTGCTGCTGAGGGTCTCCTCACAAGTCAGGGGTAGGCGGTGACTTTTACCACTTCTCCTGGGTCTTCCACAGCACTGCTGTGCAGGATTGAATCTCTTGGAGAGGTTAATCCCGGTGGATCAGTCTGTCAGCCTCCTCCTACTGTTGGGGTATGAATTATACTGGATGCTGGAGTGGATTTTCTCCCATTGCTGGAAATCAAAGCAATTCAGTAGCATGAATTAGAAGCCCCTTCCCAAGGGATAGCTCCAAAAGTGTGGTCCTCCAGCACCTTCCCATGGGAGAGGAGCTATTTAGTGCTAGGCAGAAACATCAGAGCAAGCCACAGAGTGGTTCTTCTGAACTCTGGGGTGGGGACAACCACTTTTTGGGGGTCCCAACAAGAAAGATATGGGGAAAGAAAAGTCCTTTCATAGATCAGAGAAGCGGCATGGAGAACAAAGGGAGGAAACATAGAAAGCACAAGGGGGTATTTTCCTGTTTCTCGAAGAGCAGAAGAAGAGGAATGGGGAAGGCAGCATCGTTAAAGTGAAATCCCTGACTGGAATGACAAAAGGAAAAGAAATTAAAGCCAGATTTGTTCCCCTGGGCTGAAGGAAGGAGGATCCCTTTTAGTTTGTGCCTTCTTTCTTGTTTCCTTTAAAGACAGGAGATCAATTGCGGGGCTTAATGAGAACCGTCTAGTGTGAGAGGTAGACAATGAGAGATGGAGAAGGATGTCCCAGCATCCTGGAGATTTTACAGCAGTTTTGAGCATTGGGATCCATCCCTGGAAGCCACAACCCATCTCTGGGCTGTTGCATTGTGCATTGTGAGCATCGTGTAGTGCTAAGCCTGAGTGGGGACCACCGGTGGCAGTTCCCATCCATCATCCTTGCGTCCATGGGTCCATCATCCTTGCGTCCATGGGTCCATCATCCTTGTGTCCATGGGTCCATCCTCTGGTGCACACACAGTAAGAGTTGGTGATGCAGACACAAGGTGTTTGTGGCCAGTCGTGCCACATCCTTTGGGGCTGCCACAGTACTGATGGCACCTACAGACATGCTCCCCAGGAGCTGCATGTAGAGTTGTTGCCCATGATCCCTCATTAGGATCTTCCTCATCCTCCTCATTAGGAGGCTCCAATGTAGAAGCTCCAAGTGTAGGAAGCTTTAGGGCACTGAGTTCATGTTGTAGGTATTCTTGAGTGAGGAGTTTACCAAGAGCTAAGGAGGACTTGTTTGGATGCTACTGAGATGTCCCTTTGGAGAAAAAGGTGAGCTCCTCATGGGGAAACCTCTCTGGGAAAGTGTCCCATAGAGCATCTCAGCATTCCTGGAGACCTTCAAAGGAGATAGAGGATGCTCGCAGATACAAATAAACCTGCTCTTTGTGTGCTAAACTTATGCCAACACAGATACCCCATCTCTCCTAGGTTTAAACCCCATTGCTCATCAGAAGGCAAGGATGGGGATAAAATCCCTGCTCATTCCCCTCCTCATCCTAGGAATGCCCCCCCCTCCCTTTCCCGACTCCATGGGCTGAGCTGGAAGTGCTTGGACACATCCATACCTCTCCAGGAGGAGCAAAGCCTCTCAAATCGGTGCGGAGCCACCTCTTCGGAGGCCTCAGCATCTGGCCCTGGGGATGCATCCTGTTTCAGAGTGAATTATTCTCTCTGTCACTTGATAGGTGTCAAGCCCAGCACGATCCCTTGAGCTTCCGCCGGAGAGAGGGACCTTTCATGGGGCAGGTAAGGGGGACGGGGAGGAGGGGGGGCAGGTCTGTGCTAATAGCTCTGAACTTGGCTCAGGCCTCTTAATGGATGCAAATGAGCTTTTAGCTACTGGGTCAGTCTGCGGTGTTTTGTGCAAAGGTTTTGTGCTCTTCACGGTAACTGTTCACGTGGCCGGCTTGAATGGCAAGGGGCACGGCCGAGGCTGAAAGGATGAGCAGGAACCTTCTCATACCAAAATGTTAACAACTTCCTCCCCACGCTGCTTGCCAGCTCTGGAGATCTGATATGGTTCCATCCAGGGCTCAAAAAAAACCCTTTGCAAAGTGGTTTTTCTCTTCTGGGGCCTCATCACCTTGGATATTTAACACTCGTGGATGGATCTGCTCGCAAACAGGAGCAGAGGATGCAGAAGGGGGGCAATGCCACCCAGATATCCTGTACTAGGGTCCCCAGCTAGCCCAATGGGGCACCCCATGAAGCATCTCGCTATTGCTGAAGCTACTGATTTCTGTTCCCATCATAAATCCAGGCTATTATTTTCTGTATTAAGATGGGGTTTGCCACCTTAAAAAAAAAACACCTGAATGTAGATCACACTGGGTATGAATTTCTTTCCCTGGTTTTTAACTGGGAGCATGGATTGATTTTTGGGTTTTAAGGTAGTTTTCCTTAAATGAAAACTGATAGGAAAATCTCCTTGTAACTCAGTGATCCTAATGGTGGGCTAGAGAAACCATCAGTGAGTGTTTTAGTAGATGGAAAATATTCAGAGCCAGGATCACCCCACCTCATCCATGAGTGAAATACCAATTTATTCTGTTTTCTCTTAATCATAAGGTCACAGAAGCAGATTGGTGCTGTTGGAAACAGGATGAATCATATTTGATAGAAAATGAGCCATGTTGTTTTCAGCTTTTTGTTCCACACGTCCTTAAGAGAAATGGGAAACTTCTTCAAACTTCCCAACCCAAACTTCCCAAAGCTAGAAACACTAGTTGTGAAAAATGCTGGTTTCTTCCTCCTCCTCCTCGGTGTCTTTCCTCTCTCACAAACTTCCCTCTCATTTTCTAGTCAGAGAGAGGAAAGTTGTCCCTTCCTTATGCTTTGCTGGAAAAAAAGTGGTAAAATGAAAATGAATTCATTCTGATGAGGGAAAAAGAGCTAGTTTATGGCTTATTATTATTTATTATTAATATTTATTAATTATTATTATTATTGAAAAAATATTAAATATCAGTTGTGCCTAACTGGGATGCCAGCCTGGTGTTATCGCTCCCCTATCCTGCTTTCCACCTCTTGTCCCCAAGACTGGGTGATCTCCTTTGTCCCAGGAGCACCATCCTGCACCCATGTGCACCAGCTTTAGAGCAGGTTGCAAACCCAGGGGCCCTCAGTGGAGTTTCTACCTGAGGGTCCCCCTCTGTGCCATCAGCAGGTCCTTGGGTGCTTGACCCCAAAGATCACAGCAAAAGGGTGGCTCCATCCCAGAGCATCTTCCCTCTCTTTAAGGCTTCTTGGCCGGCAGGGCTGCAGGTGCTGCAGGCTGCGAGATGCAGGGTTAGCAGGGGGTTCCATCACTTAGTGTGCCCTAAATGCTGGTGCCCTGAACACTGGGTGCCCCTAACACCAGGTACATCCACCCTTAATATACCCTGAGTGCCCTGCTGCAGGCAAGCTCTGGAGCTGGCTGCTACCCTCAGCTATTTGAGCCAGAAGAAAAGACATTTAAAGAAGATATGGAGGGGAAAGGGGCTTTTTTGCTGGTCCTTTAGGAAAGAATCTCCTCGGGGAGAACCCAGTGTGTCTCTGGAGGGCACTCTATGCCCAGCACAAGCCGAGCCCTTCATTTCGGTGCTTGAGCAGACAATGAATCCCGCGCTGAACTTCCTCTCGTTTGAGGCTCGATGTGGTTTTCATTTGGGTCTTGTTTTGTTTTCTTTCTTTTCTTTTGCTCCCCTCCTTCTTCCCTATTTTTCCCAGCGGGATTGAATAAGTAGAGCAGGCAGGAGTGCATCGCCGTGGGTAGGTTAATGTGCGCGTCGGCTCCAGCCCTTAAAATCAGGAGCTGCTGTGTAAAAGCTGATGGTCTCTGCTCCTCTCTCCCCATGAATATTTTAAACTCTTTTTTCAAAGGATTTTGGATGAGTTTTGGAGAGGAAGCAGGAGCAGGGAGGGGAAAGGGAGCTGGTGAGAGGCTTTAGCATGGAGAGAAGGGTAAAAGTCCAGGATAATGGTATAAATCCCACCCCCCTTCGTGTACATACTCAGCGGGGAAAACCTGGTCTTAGAAAGAGTTTCCTGATCAAACTTTGAATTATTCCCACTCAGTGTGTCCTTGACGTTGCCTCCTCAGCAGTGTTTTGTATTAAAACCGCTGGGCTCTAAATAGTGTTTCAGCAGCATCTTCAAAATCTCATCTCCTGAAAACATATACGTGCACACATGTACCCCTCACTCCCTCCTTCCTTCCCTCCCTTCCTCCCTCCCAGCCGGTCCCTGTCTCGGATTACCCTGGCATTTTCTTTTGAGATGAACGGAGAAACTTCACCGTAGTTTATTTTCCTTCAGAGCAGGGTAAGATGTTTCTCGTTATGCCTTTTTAATTCTCTAAAAGGCCGCATGGCATGTAGAATAATAGGGGCTGTATTCTTGCAATGATGCAAAAATCCTTCGCAGCCCACCCTTTCGAGTAATTAGCTGCTGCTCGCAGAAGACCCAGGCAAGGGAAAAGCCAGATGGTTTTCCAACAGGGCTGAGATTTGGGAAGATGGTTTTGCTGGTAGCAGAATGAAAAATAAGGAAGTTTGTTAGGGAAAAAAAAAAAAAAAAGGAGAATAAATACCAGCCAGAGCTGGCGGGTTGGATATTCAGAAAGGCATTTAAATTAGATTTTTTTGGGCAATGTTTTGCAGAGCTACTATGTAAAAGGAGAGAAAATAGAAAAGCAAGGAGGTAATTTTAATAATAGACACTCAGGAAAAGAATCTCTTCTTGGAAAGAAATTTCAAACCAGGAGACATAAAGGAAAGACTCTGGGTACCTGAGATAATTCATAATATAGAGAAAATCTTGCCAGATTGGGGAGCAAATGAGTTGCATCCCTGCTCATCTAACCCAGCGAGGAGCTTAAATCTTCCTATTTTCAGAAGCAAGGGGAGAAAACATGCGAAGTGTTCCTAATGGAGCATAAAAAAAAAGCAACAGAAGCTCCAAACATTGTGTGCAGCCCCCAGGCAGGCTCCCATGGGAATGCCTGCCCGGGATTCGGGAAGCCCCAAAGGGCATCGAAGCGTTTGGCCACTGGGTTTTGGTTTTGCAGAAGGGATGGTGGGATGGGATGGACTGGGGGGAGGTAAAAGGGGCTGAAAGTGACTACAAAATGCTGTTGCCATGTGGAGTGACACCTGGGAGAAGAAAATTGAATGTGGATGGGGATAAAGCCGTGAGTGGGATAACCCCAAAGGGGTGGGATAACACCGAGAGACTGTATGGGTGATGCTGGAGCACCTTCCCAAGGGACCATCCAGAACTCAGCCCCTATCAGAGTTTGACAAAAAGGTGCTTATTGCTTTAAAAGCTTTAGAAGGTGTAAAAATAAAGGATTTGAGTGATCTTCTGTTTATTTTATTTGTGTATCTCTCCGTAGCCATCCTCTAATAACGCCTGAAGCGGGACCAAGCCGCGTCTCTTTTTCTTGGGAGAAGGCAGATGCATAGAAAGGGGAATATCAAAATGATCTCGTTTCTGTCTCTCTTCGGTCTCATATTGAACAAAGGACAGATGGGAACAAGAAAGGAAGAAAAAAATCTCACCTGTTCCCATCCAGTCTTCGGGAGATCGCAGTCATTATCTCGGCAGCTTCACGTTTCTAAAGGGGCTCCATTTTTCTTCTAAACACTGGCATCTTGTTAAAAACCACACGAGAACCCCCCCATCCGAGTCCCCCACAAACCAAATGCCTTTTTCTTGCCTTTCCCTACCCTCCCCACAGCCCCAGCTTTAACACCTGGGAAAGGAAAGTGGGAAGGGAACCCAACCAAAACACAAATAAAGGCCCCCCAAGCCTGGCTTTTCTCGATGGCGTTTCTCCATCTGACAAAAGCCTTTGGTTTTCTGTCATTCTTTTCATTTCCTTGATGGCTCCCCCAATTGTCAAAGCCTTCAAGAAAATGCACTTTAGCTCTTTGTCCCCAAATGTAATTTGATAAACTCTTTGCAGAAACATTCTGGTTTCGGAGGCTTTTCAAAAAGAAAAGAAAAAGACGGAAAAGAAAGAAGGAAAAAAAAAAAGAGTAGGAAGAAAATAGAAAAAAAAGAAGAAAAAAAAAGGAAAGGAGAAAAGTAGGAAGAAAAAAATATAGGAAAAAAAGGAAGAGAAAAAGTAGGAAGAAAATAGAAGAAAAAAAGAAGAATAAAAGGAAGGAAAAAAGCAGGAAGAAAATAGAAGAAAAAAGTAGGAAGAAAATAAAAGAAGAAAAATGAATAAATAAGGAAAAAAAAGAAGAAAGAAGAAAAGAAAAAGAAGAAAAGGGGGAAAGAGAAAGAGGAAAGGAGAGGGAGAAGGAGAAAGAAAAATAAAAAGAAAAGGAAAATAAGACCCCCTTGAGCTGCTCATACAAGGGGTGCAAGTGGGGGACACAATATTTGAGAGCCTATTTGAGTTTTTTTGAGTGGCAAAATCAGGCTTTTTGGCAGCAGCAGCAGCAGGACGATGGAGAAGAAGAAGGAGCGGGATGGAGGGGGCCCGGCCAGTGCTGCGGGTGGCAGCCGAGGGGATTTGGGGCAGCATGGAGGAAGCTTTACATTGTCATCGTCCCCTAATGCTGATGAATCCTCATGTTGAAACAGCAGCACCCTGTGGGCGGGGACCACCCCAGCTTTCACACTATAAAACACTCGGGGTTTCCCTGGAGTGGGGACCGCATCCCGGGATCTACGGCATCGGGGTGGCTCAAGTCAACTGGGATTCCAAGTTTGGTAAGTGGCAAAATAACACGGATTTAAGTCTTATTTCCTCCCCCCTCGGTGGGAGCTGGTGACTGAGCTGGGGGTCGAGTGCCAGGGAGCACCCAATCGCTCATGGAATATCTGCTCCCCCTCCCTCGCTCCCTTTGGGTTTTATGGAACCGCTTCTGCTCAAGGGGTTTGTTGTTGTTTTCTTTCATCTGAGGGGTGAAGAAACCAGTGATGACAACTCCAGAATTTCATTGCAGGGCTTTAAAGGAGCCGGGTTTGAAAATAAATGTAAAAGCTTTAAACCAAAACAAAGCTTTAAACCAGAACAGGGGGCCTAATTCCCAGGTGGGGAAGTGGTGGAACTCCGCTCCAAGCAGGGCAAGCTGCTGCCCCTGGAGGGAAAAATAAAGGGGGGGGGGGAGGGAAAATTAAAAAGGGAGGGGAGAGAGTAGGGAAACTGATCCAGAAGCAAAAAATTGAAATTGGAAATTTGGTTGCAAAAATTCTCTTGCAGATCTGGTTGGAAAAATGACGTTGCAAACTCGGTTGGAAACATTAAATATCAGATTTGTGTGGGTTGTTTTCCCACCCCCCCCGTTCCCATTAATAGCCTGGAAAGGTTTGTGGTTAAATGACAAAGGAGCAGGAGATGGGATTTCTTGGAAATGTAAAGCTTCCATATGTTGTGGGTGCCTGTGGAGGCGGCACAGCGTTCCCTGTGCCTCCCTCCTGTACAGGTAGTTGAGCGGTTAGATGGGATGTTGTGCTCCATCACAGCAAAGTCATCAAATCAGCTATAAAAGCAATGTGAAGGGAAAGAATATTAATGCCCACTAGAAATAAAGCACTTCCTACTAAAACCTGCTAACTTTTCTACTAAAACCCACTTTCTGACCTAAAAGAAGTAGGAATATTTGCATCAGGGAGTCCCAGCTCAATAGGGATATTCAGAGCAGTGAGTTAGCACGGAATCCCAGCTCAATAAAGTTTTTTAAATGGATTTGATATTTTTCAATCAAATTTGTAAATTCAAATAGCAATAATGTCACTAACTGTGCATGGTGTGAGGGCAGTGCTAAAACCAGTCTGTGAATGGTGATAATTGCACTTGGGTATTTCCAGTTCCTCCCAGTTGCCTGCCGGGTGGGTTTTGACTGTGATACAGACAGTTAAGAAAGGGATGGGATGTGAGTAAGCATTTCCCAGGAAGAGAAAGAAAAGGGAATTTCAGAAGCTACATTTTTCTAGGAGCTGCAGGGAGAGCATCACCCGCTCTGGGGATGCCAAATCCATTAAATCTAGGAAAGAAGGATGTTTGGTGCTCATAGAGAGGCATCAGTGAGCAGCAGAGGCCGGAGGGAGCTTCTCCTGCAGCAGGTTCCCTCTTTGCACTGAGTTTTCCTGCTTTTTCCTGGCATGGGAAGAAGCAGGAAAGTTCCTGATCCTGATTGGGCTGGGAAATTGGTCCTTATGGGGAAAGCAGGATGTGGCAGCCGGTAGCACTGAGCCCCAAAACCCGCTGCTGCTTTTGTGCTCAGCCGCATCCTGGGGCAATGAGTTCCTGATGGAAGCAGCATCCATGACTGGAGTGCTCCTTGGGATTTGTTGTATCAAACCTGTTGCCTGCTGGTGCCATCACCCTTCCCTTCCTCATGAATTATTGCTCCCCTGTTGCCTTCTCCACCCTGTTTGCAGTTTCACAGGCTTTTGGCTTTATTTGTGGATATTGATGAAATTATCCGAGATTAAGGTAAAAGTTGGGAGTAGCTGGACCTTGGAAAAGCAGTTCTTCTTCTGGATTCTCATGAGTTTATCTTCAGCAGGCAAAAGCCTGAAAGGAAAGAAACCCCTTAAAAAAAGCCCAAGCGTTTTTTAGGCTTTTCCTTATTTTTTAAGATTATCCTTGAATTTCTGCCAGCGGCAAAAGGAGCAGATTCTCATGGAATTATGTGCTGGTGGCTGATTTCTGCCCGTCTCCAGCCCTCAAAGGAGCATTCTCACACACTTGGAAAGCAGCAGGAGACATGTCAGGCTGTGAGCCCTGTTCACATGTGACACTGCTTTGGAGGGGCTGAGAGCATCTCAGGGATGATTTTTCCCTAGAGAAAGGGAGGAGGAGAACGAGGTGGACAAGGCCTCCCTTTCCACTGGGCCCATCCATGGCTGACCCCATGGTTTGGGGGTTCCCAGGGTGGTTTTGGTGGCAGGCACTGCTGTGGGAAGCTGCTGGTGGTGGATGTTAAGAGAGCAGGGCTGGTTCTTCCTGGACAAGAGAAGGCTCCTGAAGGGGAGACCTTAGAGCAGCTCCAGTGCCTGAAGAGGCTGCAGGAAAGCTGGAGAGGGGCTTGGGACAAGGGATGTAGGGCCAGGCCAAGGGGAATGGCTTGAACCTGCCCGAGGGGAGACTGAGATGAGCTCTTAGGCAGAAGCTCTTCCCCGGGAGGGTGCTGAGGCGCTGGCCCAGGGTGCCCAGAGAAGCTGTGGCTGCCCCATCCCTGGCAGTGTTCAAGGCCAGGTTGGACACAGGGGCTTGGAGCAAGCTGCTCCAGTGGAAGGGGTCCCTGCCCGTGGCAGGGGTTGGAGCTGGAGGAGCTTTAAGGTCCCTTCCAACACAAACCATCCTATGACCCTGTGTGCTTCTCCTGAATGTCTTTCCATGGCTCTCAGCCCCCAGGCCAGGTGTGATGCTGAGCCCAGCACTGTGCTGGTTATCACTGTCCCAGAAGATGTGTAATTTATGTGTCCTCCCTGCTCTATGCTGATCTAGGGCGACAAGGGGTGGGTGGCTGCTTGGGGACACCGTGGAGTGCGGCAGGAGGAGTTTTGGAAAGGTACTTTGGGAAGGTGCTTAGTAATGGTGTAAGGCTCTTTGGGAAGGTGCTTTTGGGAAGCACTTGGAGCAAGTGCTTTGGGAATGTGCTTTGGGAAGGTGTTTTGAGAAAGTGTTTTAGGAAGGAGCTTCGAGAAGATACTTTGCAAAGTTGTGTGGGAAGGGCCCTCGGGAACATGCTTTGGGAAGGTGTTTTGGGAAGGGGCTTCGGGAGGAAGCATCAGGAAGGTGTTTTACCAAGATGCTTTGGGAAGGGGATGTGGGAAGGGGCTTCAGGAAGGTGTTTTGGGGAGGAGCCTGCAGAAGACGCTTTGGGAAGGTGTTTTAGGTAGATATTTCAGGGATGAGCTTCGGGCCAAGCCCGGGGCGGGGTGGGGGGGGGGTCATCCTGCAGGAATGTGCGGGTGCGGATCGGTGCGGGGTAGCGCGGAGCTCCGCGGTCACCTGCGCTCCGGCGCCTGCAGTACCGCCGGCCGCCACTGGGTGGGGCGCCAGGGCAAAGAGTGAGCGGCGGCGGCGAGGGGGGGGCGCTGCCGGTGCGCTCCAGGGAGCGGGGCAGGGGGGGGGCTCCTGCACCGGGATGCACCGGGAACGGGGGGGAGCTCCCTGCACCGGAGGGAGCATCATGAGCCTGGGGGGGTCCCACCATAAGGGGGCATGGTGGGGGGGTCCCCCGGGAGGCACGGCAGTGAGCGGGGGTATAGGGTAAGGGGGGGTTCCCTCCACTGGGATGCACCGGTGGGGTGATGATGGTGGAAGCACCCCTCACTGGGATACGCGGGGATGCAGTGTGTGTGTGGAGGGGGGGGGGTCCCTGCGCTGGGATAGACTGGGAGCAGCGCCCACGGGGATGCACAGGGGAGAGGTGATGGGTGGGGAAGAGGAGGGGGTGGTTCCGTCCCGGGGCACCCAAGGAGGTGACTGGGGAGGAATGGCTGCACCCGCCCGGGGATGCTGCGGGGGGAATCCCGCACCCTGGGTCCAGCCCGCACAGGGAGATGCGGGAAAAGGGATCCAGGCCCGGCTGCCCCCGGGGTCACCCCGAAGTAAAGGGAAAGGAGGGGGAACCCCTTGGCTCCTCGGGAGCTGCAGTTTGGGGGGGGGGGGGATCAGTCTATCTCAGGGCTCTGCAGACTCAAGCCAGCTGGGGTGGCTGGAGGGGGGCGCGGGGCTGGTTGGGGTTGGGGAAGCAAAGGAGAAGGGGGGGAACTCAATGAACTTTTGTTTTCCCTGTAATCTGAAGCAAATGCTTTGCAAAACTGCCTGTGAGCAGGCAGCCGGATACCTGCCTCTGCCTCCATCGCGGGGGGGGGGGGGGGACGGGACAGGCTGGAAATGCACCCCTGGGGTCCCCCAGCCTGGATCTCTCCTGTCCTGGAGAGCACTGGTGAGGAAAAGAGAGAGGAGGCAGGCCAATCACCCCAATCCCCCAAATAATAGGGTGTGAGTGGCATCTAGCACCCCCTATAATAATGTGGGGGCAGAAAGTAAATCACTGTAATGGTCAGTGATCACCGGGAGCAAATAATTGCGGTAGGGATCAATGCAAGTAGGCAAATAATTGGGGAGGGTTCATTGCAAGGGGCAAATCATTGTGGGAGGGTAAATCACTGCAAGGAAGGAAGTAATGGGAGGGTAGCAAGGAGGGAAATGGGGTAAAGGAGTCAGAGTCGTCATTGGGATGGTGAAGTGTTGTAAGGAGCAAGTAATGAAGGGGGGGTGATCAGTAGAAAGAGTAAATTATTGGGGAGGGGGGGAGTCATTGTCTGGGGCAAATTGGGGGGTGTGTGAGGGTAAATAATTGCCTGGGGTGAATTATTGTGGGGGATAAATCACTGAAAGGGGATAAATGTGGTCATTGAAGGGGGATGGAACACTGAGGGTCATTCTTGGGAATCAAAGGGGAATCTCTAAGGGTTAAATACTGGAGGGGGTCATTGTAAGGGGGAAATCATTTTGGGGTAGATCTTGGGTGTGGGAATCATTGCAAGGGAGGAAGTCATTTGGGGTTAAATACTGGGGGGGGTTATCGTAAGGGAGAGTCATCAAGGGTTAAATATAATGTAAGGATCATAGCAAAGGGGGGTTCACTGGGGGTTAAATATTGGGGGGTGTCTCAAGGGGGAAATAATGAAGGGTTAAATATTGGAGGGAGCATCACAAGGGGGGGAATATGAAGAGTTAAATACAGGGGGGTCGTCGCTGGAGGGGGAATGATTATTAAGGATTAAATATTGGGGGTCCATAGCAAGAGTGGGGATCACCAAAGAGGAGTGGGAGTCATTGGGGGGGGGGGGATGATGGGAGGGTCACCCCTCATCATTAAGGGTTAAATATTGGGAGGTTGGGGGGAGGGTGATTTGGGTATGGGATTGCTTTGGGGAAGGGGGAGGTTGATTTGGGAAGGGGTTTGATTGAGGAACGGGAGGGTGATTTGGAGAAGTGGGGTTGATTTAGCTAGGGAGGACTTGGTTTGGGGAAGGGGGGGTTGATCTGGAGAGCGAGTGGGTTAGTTTGGGAAGGGGGAGACGTTGGAGAAGGGGGGTTGATTTGGGAAAGGGGGGTGAGCGCCGGCGCTGAGCCGCGCTTGTCTCTCCGCAGGCCGAAGGTACGGACGGCGGCGGTGGAAGAGGAGGAGGAGGAGGAGGATGAAGCCGCGGAGCGCGGCGTGACCGGGCTGCGGGCTGCGAGCCAGGGCTTCTCCTCGGCTCGGCTCGGCTCGGTTCAGCTCTGCTCTGCTCCGCTCGGTTCGGCTCGGCTCGACCCGCCTCCCCCCGGAGCCCTCGGCGTGCGGTGGGTGTGCGGGGGGGAGCAGCCGAGCTGGCGGCCAGCCCAGCCCCGGCTTCCCCGCCTCTATATAAACACCCGGGGACTTTCTCCGCCGCTCCTCAGTGCGAGGGGCCATGCCCGCCGCCCGCCTCCCGCACGGCCGGGGAAAGTCTGGGGCTGACACCGCGGCGTGCGGAGCCCCGCGCTCCCGTGTGTGCAGACAGGGACCCCCACCGGCCTGCCTCGCTCCCTGTGTGTAGATACATGTGTACAGCTACCTAGTTCTCGCAGCTCTCCAGGTCGTGGCTGAATTATTTTGTCATTTTTTTTTTCTTTTTTTAAGCTATTTTTCCAAACCTCGCTTATTTTCTTTGATTTTTGTTTTTGTTTTTAATCCGTGTTTTCCGCCCCCCTTCTGGTGTGTGTGGCTTTGCCTTGGAAGGGAGCAGGAGCCAGAGCATCTGCGCTTGGACTTTTTTGGGGGTCTTTTTTTCCCCCTTTTTCTTTTTTTCTTCAGGGTTTTTATTTTTTATTTGCTGCCCTCACCCCTTATTCGGGGTCTCTTTTTCTCATCTCTTCCCCCTTCCCTTTCTTTTTCTCCCTTTTTCATTTTCCCTTTTCCCCCTTTTCTTCTTTCCTTTTTATTTCCTCCTTTTTCTTACCTTTTTTCCTTCCTCCTTTTTTCCTTTTTGTTTTCCCTTTCCCCCTTCCCTTTTCCCCCTTTTCTTTTTCCTTTCCCCTTTTTCTTCTTCCCTTTTTTCCTTTCCCTCTCTTTTTCCTTTTCCCTCCTTTTTTCCCCCTTTCTTCCTCTATTTTCCTTTTTCTTCCCCCCTTTGCTACCCCTTTCCCTTTACCCTCCCCCCTCCCCGTTCCTTATTGCGGGGTGTGCTTTTGCGCCTGTGTCACTCCATCAAGTTTATCCCAACCAAGAGCAAACTTTTCGAGAGGGACCGAGGAGAAACTCCTTTTTGCCACCACCCCCTCTATTTCCCCCACCCCCCCCTTTTTCTCCCCGCTTTCCCCTGCTGTTTCCTGCCCTGCCAGCGGCCAGGGGGGCAGCGCCCCCCCCCCCCCCCCCCCGGGCCGGGACCCCCCAGGCAGCCCTCACCGTGCGCTCCGCGATCTCCCTCTTCCCGTGCGTGCGGGTGTGTGGGTGCGAGTGCGGTGCCTGTCAAGGGGCTGTTTCTCTCCCCACCCTCCTCCTCCTCCTTCTTCCAAATATGCTTTTTGCAAGTTTTGATCTCGTCTCGGCACTGGCTACCCTCGCGGCGTGCCTGGTGTCGCTGACTTTGCTGCTGGCCGTGTCCCAACAGCTGTGGCAGCTCCGCTGGGCTGCCACCCGCGACAAAACCTGCAAGCTACCAATCCCTAAAGGCTCCATGGGATTCCCTTTAATCGGAGAAACCTTCCACTGGCTCCTGCAGGTAAGGAGGATTCCCTTCCCTGCCTTCCCTTTCTCCCCTTTCCCCTTGGAAGGTGGGCTGGGACCGGCTTTAGTTCTTATTTTATAAGGCTTTTTTTTTCCTTCTTCTCCTCTCGATTGCATCATGCGGCGAGCCGGCGAGGTAGCAGGGGTTGGGGGGGTCATTGTGGGGGGACACCCCGGAGGAGCCTGTCCCGGAGCGGCCGCAGCTCTGCGCTCCCCGCTGGGGCTGCGGGGGAAGCCGGGGAGCAGCGAGGGAAGCCGAGGGGTCTCCCCCGTGCTGCCCCAAACCTCCTTTCCCCTTCCCTTCCCAGTTTAAATCCTTGCCAAAAGTAATGAATTATAATAACGCCGGGGGTAGGAGGGACCCCCGGCTGTCCCCGCGTCCCGTCCCCATCCCCGGGGCTGCTCCCTTCGGGTTCGCACCCGCCCGGCTCGGGTCCGGTGCTAGGGGAAGCCCGCGGAGGTAATCGGTAGATTAACCCGGGATTAACCTTGCTAAATGCTGAACAGCGGCGGGAGGAGCGGGATCCCCCTCGGACCGCGCGGCGAGAGGGCGATGGCCAAGGAACAAAAAAAAAAAAGAGAGAAATAACAAGAAAAGAGGCGGCGAGGGGTGCCCCGGGTTAGGGAGGGCGTGAGGGCCGGGCTGGGGGCACCCCGGGGGCTCGCAGCATCCCGGGAGGGAACCCCCGAGGGTTTCCCACCTCCTCCTCCTCCCAGTAAAGCAAACAGGAGCCTGGCGAGGATGCTCCCGCCGGCAAAGGTCGCGTTTCATTGACGGCACCGCCGAAGGGGACGGGCGGAACCCGAGGCCGCGAAGGGCAGCTCGGCCCCGGCTGCGAGGGCTGCGGTGTCCCGGTGTCCCTGTGTCCCGGTCCCCCGTCAACGGGGATGCCCCGGAGCGTCGGCCCCTCTCCCCACCGCCCCTTTCCCTCCCCGTGGCGCTGAAGGGGTTAACAGCCCGCTCTCAATAGGGCTTTATTTTTTAAAGAAATTTATCAGATTTTTACAGGGGGACCAGAAAAGGGTTCTCGCTTTTCCACACGCTCCGTCCAAACAGAATCCAGCGCTAAAAATACAAAAATTTTTTTTGTATAAATTGGACTCCATTCGAAACTTCTCCCACATAAAGGTCCTCTTTGTGCTGCCCCTGGAAATGGTGTACAAATAACTCTTTATTAATGCCACAAAAAGGACTTTAATTATATTTACGCAGATCAAGAAACAGGGTCACCTGAACATCTAACATTCACAACCGCGCTTTTGTTTCAAAATAAACACACGCGTTCCCCGCCCGGCACCGGGGCTCCAGCGCTCGCAGCTATTCTCCCAGCTCGGGATAGAGGGGGAGGGATTTGGGGGACCCCCCCCCCCCCTTAACCCTGCGGCTCCATCCAGCTCCTCGCCGATAAAAACCTCCCGGAGCATGTGGGAAAGTTATTAAAGGCTCTTTAAATCTGGAGATTTACTTAGGCAAATTGCAGCCTTTCGAGTAAATTCGGGCTGGGAGAATTGGAATAAGAAAAAAAGAAGAATAAGGGGGGAGGAAAGGAAAAGGGGGGGGCTAAGGGAAAATAAAAGGGAAAAAAGGGGAGGAGAAGGTTAAAAAGAGGGGGAAAAAGGGGGGGGGAGGTTTAGAAGTGCCAAGGGAGGTAAAGGTAGAAGTAAAAGGGAGGAGGAGGAAGGTGACGGAGGGCACCGACCCCTCCGGGAGGCGCGGGCAGCGTCGGGCGCCCCGTCGGAAGGAGCCGGGTGGCCGGCGGGTGGGATGTCCGGGTTATCCCGTGTCCCCCCCCATTCCCTTGCCCGGGATACCCCCAAACCTCCATCTGCGATCCCCCCATTACCTCCCTAAGCTTCACCCATAGCGATCCCCGTAACCCCTCCATCACCTCTCCCAGCTTCACCCGCGGGGATCCCCGCAACTCCCCTATTATCCCCTATGGGGATCCCCATATCCCCCCCTCCCATCACCCCTCCAAGCTCTACCCGTGGGGATCCCCACGCGCGTTTGCCCTGCGGTAACACCCCGTCCACGCGTGTTTCTTCCCCCTGGCATCCCCGCAGGGCTCCTGCTTCCAGTCTTCCCGTCGGGAGAAGTACGGGAACGTTTTCAAGACGCACTTGCTGGGGCGGCCGCTGGTGCGGGTGACGGGAGCGGAAAACGTGCGGAAGATCTTGATGGGGGAGCACCACCTGGTGAGCACCGAGTGGCCGCGCAGCACCCGCATGCTGCTGGGGCCCAACACCGTGGCCAACTCCATCGGCGACATCCACCGCCACAAGAGGAAGGTGAGGGGCGCCCACGAGTGACCGCGAACGAGGGATGGCGATGGGGAACACTCGTAGGGCACGGGGTCGCGCCTGGAGGGGGGGAACCCTTTCCCTTTATCCTCTCCATCCCATCCTCGCCTTTTCCCACCGCAGACCCCCCCTCCACGTGCGTGAGAGGTCCCGCGTGGGTCCGTTCCCCCCCAACCCCTTCCGTGTCCGCGCTCGATGCCTTTGAGGAATTTAAAAGGGCGATGATAGAATGGGGGGGGGTCACACATGGGGGGTGCACCGCAGGGTGGAGCTGAGGATGGAGGTGCTGCCCTCCCCTCCCTCCCCCATTAACCCCTCCACCATGCCCCCTGCAGCCGGTTACACGCGTTTTGGGGGCTGAGAAGTGAGCGAGGTCCCACAAGGCTCTTAAAAGGGCGATGAAACCGAAGGGGCGAAGGGGGGGGGGGGGGGGATAGGAATGAAGGGAGAGGTAACAAAGTTCGACCCCCCCATTTCCAGGCTCCGCTGATGGGGGTGCTGCGGGGTCCGTGTTTGTTGTGGGGGTAATCCCATGGTGCTGAGCGTTGTATTGGATTTTAGGGATATTGGGGCGCTGATGGGCAGGACTGAGCTGGTTGTAGGGATCTGAGATCCTCCTGGGCCTTTGCCTTGTCACTCGGTGCTCCTGGGGCCAGACTCTCCTTACAGCCCCCAGAGAAGCCCCCAGGGGGTTGTTGACTCCAAGCAGATGTGGGGGTCCATCCGCATGTGGCCCCGTCAGCAACGGTGGTGGCAGAGGTGACCAGGCTGGCGTGGCAGCAGGGACAATGGCTTTTGCATCCCATCCTTCATGGGACAGGCTCTTCCCAAGCTGTGTGGGGTCAGGCAGTGGATTTGGGGTGAAGGCAATGTTTCCCCCCATCGCTGTGGGGTGGAGATGGCATAGCTGGCACAGAGAGTGGCACCCAGCACCAAGAGGTGTTCTCTGTCTTTGCAATTACATCACCATTTGCTTGGGCTACTTCTTGTTTTATCCTTAAGAAATGAGATATTTTCCCCAACTTTGTTGTCAAAGAGAAAGGCCAGCAGTTCATGGGGCTCCCCCCATCATGGAGCATAATCTGTGGCAGGAGTGGGGTAGGGATGTGGGGAGCACTCTGCTTTCTTGCAGTGGGAGGAAGGCAGCATCTTTGGCTCCTATTTACTCCCTATTAAGTGAGGGTTAAGCAGCAGCAAGCAGTGATTTGAAGGTGCCTCAAAGCTCCTTTGCTGCTCCTTTTATCTTCTGCACAGCCAGAAAATATTTTGCTACTGCAAAGCAGGCAGCTGAAGGCCTTTGGTTGCCATTCCTTAATAAAACCACGGAATTCCGACCTCAGGAACAGGCACCGGGGGAGGTGAGGAGAGCGTGGGTGATGGGAACGGGGTCATGGAAAAGGGAGGCCTGACCTCTGTGGTATCCTGATGGACTTGTAATTTGTACCACAGCTCAGATGGGGAGTGCCAGCACTAGCAAAGGAGCAACACCAGCAGCGTAGAAAAGGAAGCGCTGCTTTTCCTTGATATTTATAGTTCTCAGTTTAGTGTTTTTTCCAAGTGGGAAATATACGTCCCACCCTAACCTGTGAATCCCAATGCTTTTGCATTTTTCTAACTCCAAAGGCTGGTCTGGATTTCCACTCTCCTCCTCCTCAAAACCTTTTTACCTTCCCAATTTTTGGCATCATACATCATCCTAAACTTGGCAAGGATTCTAATTCCTGCCTAAGGGATGTCTAAAAGCCTCCTGAGAACAGGTACTCAGACAAAACACCATGCCAGGATGAGCCTTGCTCCTGTTCACACACCTTCCCACCGCCTTGAGCCAGTTTACCTGTGAGCAAGCCCTTTCCCTGGATAAGCTGTGCAGGATGCAAAAGTAGCTCTTTATCTTTTAAGCTTTCTCTTTCACTGGTGTGAGGTTGGGTGCAGCTGGTTCCCTTCCCTTTGAAAGCAGGAGGTTATCCAATTCCTTCACCTGATCTCCTCTTAATTCCTGTTTTCATGGAGCTGAGCATCTTGTGCATCACACACCCTTGGGTGCTCCCTGGGCCTGGGAGCCCTTGTTTAAAAAGCAGTTAAGGAATTTGAAGAAGATCTTCCTGTGAATGCTTTTTTTTTTGTACCTTTTTAGTCAAAATATAGCTTTTTACTCAAAAGTTTCTTAATATTCAGATTTTTTTGAGACTATTTTGTTCTTACCCTTTTCCTCTTTGAAGTACACTAAGGTAGCACTTAGGGACATGCCTTAGTGATGGACTTGGCAGTGTTACAGTTGGACTCGATGACCTTAAAGATCTTTTCCAACCTGAATGATTCTATGCTTCTAGGCCTGTGCAAACCACCCCTTGCCCTGCACTGAGTTGCACATGCAGAGATAAGGAGAACCTGCTTCTAATGGGAAGAAAATAGATCATTTTGCTCTTGCTGAGATTACAGTGGCCAGATTAAAGCTTTTTCCAGGCCTGGTCCCCTCTACCAGCCAGTGTCTTTGGAGTTCATTAGCTTTTATTGTGTTAAATGATGTTGACTTTTAAGTCTCTCCACCCTGCTGGAAAGGTCCAAGGGGGAAGCAAAAGGTTTAAGATTGAAGCTTGCTCCTTCTAGGCAGTTCTTCCTCTTGGACACCCGGTCTGCACTTCCTCTTGACCTGCTGGGGAGCTGAGCAAAGGACTTGTTGGCAGAAGGCAACATTCTTCACAGAATTCACCTACTTTTGTAGTGAGGATGTAATAGAAATAGTAAAAGAACTGGAGCAGCTGAAAGTTCCATGTAGAGGAGCAGTAGTATTTCCTGGGAAACCTTTTAGGTTGTTGATAATTCAGTTTCAAGCATTGTGGGGCTTTCTGGAGCACCTCTCAAATGCTGTTTTCTACTTCATCTCTGAGCTTAAACCTTTGCTTGCTTGAGAACGTGGTTTCTCCTTCTCTGTCCTTGCCAGAAATTGTACAGAAGGTATAATGTCTCATGAAGCTGCTTGTGGCATAGGGTGGCAGCCAACACAAGGAAAGGTGGAGTGTGAAACCTCATGGGCTCACCCTCTGCTGCGACTCCAACCATTGGGGTCATCTATAGCTCTTACTCCGCAACAGGTCCTTGGTCATCAACTCCTGATCTTTCCAAAAGCCAGTGGAGTTGCATTTGCAACAGCACAGGCAGATAGTTCTACATGATTCCTAGGCAATGAAGGAATGGTCTACTCTTGATAGAACAGATTGCCACTGAGGTATGAAGATAAGCTTTGTCAAAGAGCTTTATAACCAACATGTTCTTGCACAGTGTTTCTGGTAGCTTGCCATTGAAATCAGCTGTTTTACTGGCCATGTGTTGTGAAGCTTTCCAAAGAGTTTTAGCTCTTCAGTGTAACTTCAAGACCAGCAAATTGTAGCTATCACCACTGGATCTGCTATAGGGCACTGACCATGATAGTGATGGGAGCGGAGACAGGTTGGACAACTCGGTCTCTGGAGTGCTTGGGTTTGTTATCTCTTGTTTCCCTATCTCAGCTTTTCTTTGGGATCTTGTATGGATTCAATATCCTCTTCTCCATCCCTGGGCTACCAGAAGCTTTAAGCTTGTAGGTTGAAGGACTCTGGGATGCTCAGGAGGAACCAAGCCATATTAACAAGCTGTGGTAGCTCTCTGTTTTCCCATCCCCTATTTATTAAAGCTCCCCTGCAGGAAGCTGTCAAAGGCAATATAAATTGGAGAAAACTTCCCCTTTTGGGAAATGACCTCTCCAATCATTAGTCAATTTTGTGCAGGGATGTGACCGCTCGTGAGGCAGGACGGAGGGTGAGAGCAGGGCTTGCCTGCGTCAGGATATCGCTTTATTGCCGATGTCATCAGCGTCGGCTCTGTCCTTGGCCCGAGATGAAGCTGGTCGATAAGAACATTTACAAGTAGTAAACAAAAGGAACCCAAAACTCCTCAACCGCCCTCCTGAGATAAATATCTCCTGAGAGGCTGTTACGGCTCTTGGGTCGTGGAGTTTATGTTGATGTCAGGGAAGGATCTGGGCCACCCGTGCTGCAGCTTGCTCCTCACAGCGGCGTTTTGGTCTCAGAATCACCTTGCAGGCTACTGGCAGGAGCAGGCACGTTGCTCTCACATCCAGCTGAGCATGGGCAGGTCTTTGCTCTTTTTGGTGGCAGATTCTTATCTCTTGCCATCAAGTGTAGGATGCACATCGTTCCCTTGGGGTCAGATATGACATATCTCAGGGAATGCCTGCTCTCCTTTGGTATCCCATTGGAAGGGGTGACTGAGGATGGTGCCTGGCTTCTTGCTTCACACTCTGATGCTTTCCCCATCCTGCTCTGGATTTGGTGCCACCTCTGCCATGCCCTGTCCCAGCCTGGCTGTTTACTCAATCCTTTTTACACCTCATCTTAGGTCTGTCCTTATAGACAACTTCAGTTCCCATTCCTACCCGTGAGCTCCAATTTCTACCCATGAAACCCCAGTGAAATCAGTGCATTTGCTCCAGATTTACCACATGTGTCTTCTGGAAGTGTCAGTATGACCTGTAATGAAGGGAAAGGAATTCTGCTCTTAGGCATGGTGATAGCATGTGCTCTGCTTTTATGGGATGTGAGGCCAGCAGGAAGCTGAACTATAGCAAGCAGAGAGGGAGGCAGCCCTGTGAGGGACCCCAGCATCTCAGTGGAGAAGGAAATGGGAATTGGAAACGGCCAGGATTCACAGCCCTTAGGTTTTAGGTTGAGACTGAGCAGCGCCCGGGGCCAGGAAGGAGTTTCCCTGTGCAGGATACGCGCTACGGTGCACGGGGAAGGTGGGACTCAGACTTTCCTCGGAAGCATCCAGCCTTGGCAGGAGACTGCTGGACTTGCCGGGCTCGCGCTCTGTTCCAGCATAGTAATCCCGAAATAGGCACAGCTGGCTTAAAAAAGGAAAAGAAAGAATAAAATAAAAGCAGTCCGTGGGCTGGGTAGACATCCTAGACCCGGAGACTCGGGGAGGAAGCA